GCTGCACTGGCTGCTCTGGGGCCACTGGCTGCTCAAGTGTTACCGGAAGCTCCGGCTGCGCTGGTGCCACTGGCTGCGAGGGCTGAACCTCCGCTGGCTGCTCGGGCACTGCCGGTGGTTGCTCTGCCTCTGACCGCTGGGCCACAGCACTGAGAACCTCCTGCACAGAGCGGTGCGCAAGGAGCGCCACATCTGCGTCAACGGCCGCTGAGTGGCCGTCCCCGCCCACGGAGGCCTCGCCGACATGAAGAAAGTCTGCCGACATGAACTGGGGCAGTTGAAAGCTGTTTAGTGGTGTACGAAGGGCCTTCGGGTGTAACATGCTAACTACAAGTGCTGCTGACATTGTTGGAAGTCGTCTTTGATGTTTGCAAGTACCAGGAATGGCCTCCGCTTGACTTGCCAGCTCGCATTGCACGGCCTCTTCCACAGCGGATTTCACCAACTCCTGTCGAAAGTGTGCTTAAGGACCACAACTGGGCCAAACCATGCCAAACCCGACTTTGATTTATGGTTTGCTGGTTCGGTCTTGGGGCAACTGTTTTGGCGCCGGGGAACTGAGACTTCTGCCATCGACCTGTTCTCAAAGAGTGCCACTTCAGCATCATAGGCCGAATGGCTGGCGTCCGCAGAGACCTCACCACGATGGGCAACCCCAACTACCCGGTGCGGTCCAAAGCCACCAGGGGCACAGGGTGTCGGGGGTGCACATGCTGCAAAAGCTCAACTGAACGGTGATTCATGCTCTGTGCAAATCAACGAATTAACATCTAATAACTGTGTACTTCTTCCTGCTGCGATGAGAGAATGCCGACAAGTCCTTGCAGCTTCCCTGCAACCTGCTTGGGGGCATCTTGGGGCAATGATATAATGATCAAGTCGCCAAGTGGCTGGGGCCCCTGCGTCAGGCCTGGTCTCTGCCTGAGCCAGTTCACTTTGGAGTGCGGTCTCCACCGCTGATCGCACCAACTCCTGCCGAAGCGACCGGCAGTTGCAGCCGACCAATGCCTCCAACTCAACAGGCAATGGCAGATTGGAGAATGGTCATGTGATGTGTGAATTCCGTACCACTTCTCCCTGGATCACCACCTGGCAACAAAACCACTTTCAAAACACCTGTGTGGACCGACTTCCAAAGGAAAATGCAAAATGAAACGGTGCTTCCGCAGTTTTCCCCACTCCTCTGGCACATTCCCAGAGCTTCCCACCATGTTGACGTTGGCCTCTCGGCATCTCTCGATCATTGCGTTGGAGACCATGCGCGCCAGGTCCGGATTGGATTCACTGGCCATAGCAGCATCGGTGCGTTCCACCTTGCTAGAGTCAACGGGGCAAAGAGCGGGCGGGAATGGGCTGGTGCAAGCTTGCTTTCTGGAGGGGGTGGCTTGTCAAATGTTGGATGCTAAGAATCTTGTGAATCAGCCAACTATAGATATATATATATATAAACCAAACAAATTAAGACGGAACCTCTGGCAAACCTCACACTAGCAAGTGGCAACAGTGAAATGCACTAATCACTAAGCAAAGCAGGAGTGCTGCTGTCGCAGGCTGTCACAGGCAGGTTGTCATCGCAAGATCCTTGCAAAATATAAACTTCGGCCATTCCGATATACAAAAAACTCAGTTGCCATTAGCAAACATGTAAGCACAATCAGGTGCTGTAACCGAACAAAAAGGCAACACAACTTCTGCAACACCCTTACCAATGGCGCACCTGAACAATCTCGATGTTTGCAAAGTCTAGGTGCAACTTACTTACTTCTTTGGAGCCAATCAATATCAAGTCAAGAAGAGTTCCAAACTTGGTCTACAAGTTTACCAAAAACATGTGCACCAAGGGTAGCCCCGACAAAGACCCCTAAGTTCATCCTTACACACGCACTTGAACATCGAAAAACATCCAGAAAATCTAAACTCCCTTTAGATCCACATACTTGACATGCAAACAAACATATCCACATACTTGGCTCCAGTCTTTGAGTTCGCTTCTTCCCCACCTCTGCAAGGCCTGGCTGAACGAAAGGATTGTAGTGATTGTAGCCTTCACAAGGACAGCTGGTTCAGGGTCTGAGTGAACTCACTCGGAGGTTCCCATGTTGTCCGGCCTTCTGCATCGGAATTTCAGTCTTCCACTGATCCCGAAAGCCGTACGCCTGTAGCAACGTTTTCCAGAAGTTCACCTCAAGGTCTTCAGCTTACCCTTTAGCTTCCCTCATGTCGCTGTGAACGATCGTAACCTCCAAGCCACCGATGCGAGTGTCGTTTCAGGCTTCTCTGCTTCGAGGGCGGTAGCCACCAAGTCCTGGACAAACCGGTGAAGCTCAGGCAGCTCGGCATAGACAAAATGGATTAGGATTTACTGTTTATAAGAGTTATTCAAATTCGGGACTTGGTGCCTGTTCTGTCATACGTGTACTGTGAGACACGTACATTCCCACCAAAATGTTGAGAATGCCTGAGAACAAAGCAAAAACAATCCCTTTACATGTCACAAATCAGCACGACCTTGATGAA